TGCTAGCACAGGAGCAAGACATCCCGGCAATGCCGTGCGTCGTGTACTCTGGCAATGACGCCGAGGGGGCTGACTTTTTGTACCTCGCTGTCGATAAGCAGCGGTTTTTGTCCGTGAAGAATGCAGAGGACGACATCACTGCCATCATGGTGGCTTACTGGCTTTTTAATATAAGTACTTGAAAAAGGCAGCAAACACAGTTGCTCTTCTAGAACGGTTGTTTGTCGGCCTCAGCAGCACTACTCCGAGGCCAGTTGTGATGAAATTCCTGAACAAGGTTGCAAGAGCGTAAAATCAATGAGGCCGACAAACAACCGTTCTAGTACGAAAGGGATGCTGAACCGAGATTTGGATGGCACGAAACCAGGCAGGAGCACTAGGTGGGATGCTGCAAACCTTAGAACATAACTCATATGACGGTATCTCTAATGGATGGCAGTACTTTTTGGAAAATATGAGCATGATTGAACAAAGCTTGCGACATCTGTATTCTCCTCTTCTCTTTTTCGAAAATATGCCCATCCAGTTGAGATACTGCTGCATGAGTGGTGTTTTGGGGTCTGTAGCATCCCACTGTGTGCTTCTGGTGCCTTGTTTTGTGAAGTCAAATTTCAGTACCAGCACCCATTTAACTTTTAACTTTCTAACTCTAAACTAAAATAAATGTACCATACTTTCCAGACTATAGTGCTCAAACTATACATGTCTAAAAGTTGATATTTTACATCGTACAGTCTATCTACAGGTGTGGACTCTACAATTTTTGTTTCAAGATTGTTCATTATTACAAAACTGGTTAGGCCAGATTGCCGTGTTTTAGATATTTTACGCTGGGATAAAGTAGTCAAGACAACCTCCTACTGTCAGTCTGTTTCCCAGGCTTTCGATACCTCGCATCTGACATGTTTGCTTGGGAGCCTGCAAGCAACCAACTCAGGTCAAGCTTAATCTTGAGGAGCTCTGCGATTGGCTGACGAGCGGATCACAGAAAGCCCCCTGACATTCATCCGCAGATATCCCTTTTGTGGGGTGGAGTTCTCCAGCCTGAAGTTTTCCCCGAGGATTATACACCGAGTGCAGACTATCTAAGAAAATACTTTTTCTTTTTAGCCGAAATTTACCCTTGCGCATTATACAACGCATTGTGTACTATAGTCTGGAAAATATGGTAGCTTGTTTTAATGTTTTTAGTCCTAAACTAAAGGAAGTGTAGCTTGATTTTTATGCAACTTTAGGGTCCTGAATGAAAGTCGCATGTGCAATGGAACAAAAAGTATACACTCGAAACGGAAGGCATCTAGATTGTTCTTCTGTTATAGTCATTTTTATCAAGAACCATTGTGATGTACTGAGGAAATCTGTATTGATTTTTGTTTTTTTTCTTATTTTTACTAGCATCTTAAGCCTATGCTGTGATATTTAAAGAAAATATATTTGCTTATTTGTATGGAGGACATAGCTGGTTATTTTGTTGTGCTCACATAATAGTTCAATAAATGAGTATTCATTTAATTTGGCTTTTATTGACTCAAACCGCCCAATTGTTTCTCGATTTTTACTAGCATCTAGGCCTATATATGCTGTGATATTTGACGGAATGCCTCAAGTATTGTATTTTGATATGTGTGTGGAGGACATCCCTCATTATTTTTTTGTGGTCGCATAATAGCTCAATAAATAGTTATTAATATAGTTTTCCTTTCAGTTTTCTGTTTCTCATTTTATAACAACTTTTATTTACTTGCAGCTTAATCACATGCTGTTTGTATGCAGCTGATGCCACTCACCATGCCTTGGGCGAATGTGTAACGGTACTACGGCATACCAAGTATGACAACTCGTAACCACCTTGTATGCAAGGCAAATGACCAACGAGCCAGAACGGGATGCAAGGACCAAGTATCGGGATTGAACAAGCTAAGCTCCTTGTTGTTTATGTTTGTACCATACACTTTCTCACATTGCATAGTTTGCATGAGCAAGTGCTGATCATGCATGTGATGCATATCACACTTCTGTGTTGGCAGTTTGACAATTGGACACTTTTAATGACACATTGAGATTGGTGGCAGACTCCTTCTTTAATATAATGTTTGAGAATATCTCCCACTGATCTTTTCTAGTATACGAGTATTAAGACCATCAAGCAATTAATAAATTCAGAAGCTTTAGCCATGGAACAAATTCTGGGATATTTTTTTATTTTCATTGTCATTCCGAAGTGGCTGCTCTAGAAAGTTTTCTATATTTTATTTTTTTTTCTAGTGAAGAGGATTACATAAGGCAAAAAACTGCAACTCGCAACGATCAAAAACAACAACATAAGGTTCAAAATGTCTGTAGGAGCACGTGAGTAAAAATAAGAATCCACAGGAAACAAGAAGCCATAAAAGATTTACTGATTCTTCTTTCCTTTTGATGCATTGAGCTCTGCTGCAGTTTATTTTATGTTTTTTTTTTTAACTCAGACAAGTATATTAACATATGTGGCATTAGAACTTAAAATTTATCACTGGGAGTGAAAGTTACTTCAGCTTAATTGCCTCAATACAGTTTGCAGCTGTATAATATGATTTGGGACAAGACAGGCTACTAGATATTTTAGCAGAGCCACATATCGTGGCGTCTGTTGGTAAATTTCCTCGAATAGTTATTTTTTTCGATGATGTTTTTTAACCTGAGTTTGGGGCACAAGGAGGCGAAAAATGCTTCCCGCTCTGCCCCAGTCTCGGGTTAAATAGCACCATGGTAAACTTCCACCAGCTCGATTGCGCACCAAGTTCGTTTTTGCAGTTGCCAAAGTCTAAATATAATACCGTTCTTCTCTTAAGGCACGACCACATTGGCGTCGTGGAGGCTTGCGGCGCGGCGGTCAGCGCCGCAGGCTGCCGACCAAAACCAGTCTTCGGCTTCAGCGGCGCGACGTACAGCGCCGGAGACCCAAGCTGTCCTTGCGCGGTTGAGAGCTCGCCGCTCCTCGCCGCAGAAGAGAGGAGCCAATGAGAGGTGGCGTAGATAGTGACGTTCCGATGCGATGGCAACGCTCAAGCCGGTTCTCCGCTCGTCTTTCACGTTCCGAAGGACGTAGCGTCGCTCCGTGTCGTCTGCTATCCCCATTTCCCCCGATGCCTCCCAAAGGAGCGGTTCTTTGGAACTGTGCGACTCTTTTCCTTTTCATATGACAAGACGCAGCCACACTACCTAGATAGGGACGCTAAGAACAACCCCTGGGAAATTATAAGAGAGGAATTCAGAATTACAAGTAAGTTTTTCCGTGGCACTTGTTGCATGTTCGTGTTTTGACAGATGTTGTGTTGATTTGGTGACACTTTCGAAAGTAGCCTTCATCTCTAGCGCGCCGCCGGGGCAGCAAAGCAATGACCTGCCCTTCGATGTTTCGGTGGAACCAACTCGGCCGGACCAAAAACCCGTGCCTCCTCCGCTTCAGAGCGCGGCGACATCGCCAGATCAACGACCAGGCTAGGATAATCTCATTGACGCAGATAACCAGGTTATCATGGACGTCTACCATGTAGGCAGCGAGTGCGGTTTCGATGCTGGTATATGCGAAAGAGGAGAGCCGAAACAGAAGAATCAAAGAGAATCAAAGAGAGCCGAACAGAAGAATTCGTGTTTTGCGTGCAACACGCGGGTTTTAAGTAACGGGCTGGTTGCATGCAACGTGTGTTGCATGCAGCGCGTGCAACGCGTGACTCCTCTGAGATCACGTTACTCCCTTAAGGTCACGTGATTCCTTAAGTCACGTGACCCTTTGAGGTCACATGACCCCCCTGAGGTCACGTGATCCCCTGAGTTCACGTGACCCCCTGAAGTCACGTGACCGCCCTAAGGTCACATGACCTCAGGGGGGCCACGTGGCCCCCGTGGCGGAGGAGCAGGCAGAATGAGGAGGGGAGGAGGAGGGAGCAGGGCTATACCCTCCCCTCAGTTCCCTTGCATTCTCCTCCTCAAGAGCTGCGCTCTAATTCGGCGTTGCAGGGAGTTGTAAACGGCTTTCATTATTTTTTTTTGAAAGTTCATTTGACAAGCGTCCTAGAACTCCTAGCGCCTTTTTGAGGCGCGTGCGCTCTTTGGCGTTTGCTACGCTATTAACGCGAGGTATGGACAGATGCGGCGGAACCGGTGGAATGTTAGATGCGCATTGCTTGCGGTGGAAAGTTATTATATCTTATTTTTCCTGGCAAACAAAGTTTGAGCAATCTGTCGTGCACTGCAACGACAGGGTTCCGGATCTCTACGGGGCCCTGAGAGGCGCAAGCGACACATTTAAGATGGCCGTCGCGCTGAATGCTCGGGTTAACCTACAAGGGGTCAATTATGGGCACGAATTGAGCCCGAGTACGAGATAAACACTGACACGGCATTCGCGTTATCTCTGCGACTCGCTGGACTCTTGGTGCTGACGCCGAAACTTTGGCACTAGGAGGTGTTAGCGCCACCGGTCAAGGGACACATGCAACTCAACGGCGGCGGTGCGGAGCATTTGTTGCCTATTCGCAAAGAACGCAGGCCCGGAGACGAATTTTGCAAGGCTTGTGGAATCAATAAAAAGGCCAAGCTAGGTCGTCTGATTGACGCCTTCTCATTTATTTCGCATTTTCTGGCTTATGGGGACCAGGGGTTTAGGCAAACACGCCCTTAAACGGCTCACACGGCCTGCGTTTCTAAAGAAATCAGTGACCGCAAGATCACGAACAGCTTGAGCTCCGAGTGGAGCGATTAGCGGGCAGACTAAAATCTAGCTGCCTTTTTCTCTACTAACTTTTTGAACGCCTCCCAACACGAACGCCGACAGACGGACCCTGGTGTTCGAACGCGTTTAAAGAGTGTGTAGAGTCAAAGGCAGCAAGCTTTACGTCTGTCCACTACTCGTTGGTGTCAAAGATCGGTTCTATGGCGTCCCGGCGCCTTCTCGTGTCCTCCTTTCTCTGAGTTTCTACCCATAAATAATAGAAATGAGTGATGCGAGATTCCTTCACCTTTTGAGTGTCTCGGATGTGCCTGAGCATGCTCTCGTAGGTCCTGACAGGGATGTCGCACTGCTGGAAAGTGCCCCAGCGTCCGGCGGCCTTCTGATCCGGCCCGTGGGGTCGGCCGTCGTCCGCGTGGCAGCACACGTACTCGGCGCAGCTAGCCAGAGAGCCCTCCTCGTACAAGGGGTCGACGTGCGTGTCGCTCAGGTGCAGCACTCGCAGCGTCGGTGCTCCGCTCTGTAGAGTCATCGGGTGTTTCTACTTAAAGTGGTAGTGAGTAAAGGCACTACAACCGGCTCTCGACAAAAGGTACGCATACCATATAAACAAATCCCGCAATACTGGAGAATAAAGAATCATTATTTACACTTGGTTAGGAAAGAGCAAAAACGTGAGTGGAAGTGATCCCTGCTAATTGTATATATGTTTATGTTTTTTGTGAGGCATTTTTATAATGTAAATGTTACATTATAATTAGGGCTCCGTGTTTTCGGATAAATCAAAAAACTGCTAAAACACCGGCAGGTAAAATTTTTGTCAATTCGGATTTATCCAATAAACTCCGAATTGCTATGTGACCATGCCACCCGTCCCACACCCTAATTATCTTTCAAGCCACGGACCGTTGTCAAAAGGGGGTCTTACGGCTTGCCTCGTCAAAGTTGGTTCAGAAAAACAGGTCATCGTACCATTCGTATCACGACAAAAGCCACTCTTTTGGTTTCCAGTTTGGGCCTTGGGATTTGGAATTTAGAGAAAGGAGAGGGCATGTTTCTGGGGGTAACAGTGAAGGCTATGGATTATAGAGATTGTATAATATAAGGAAGAGGGGCAGTTGAAACTTCTCCCTATTATATCCTTCACCACTCCACCTCGCGCGGCCGCGGGAAAGATTGATGGGATGACTACGAGCTTCCCTGCGGCTACCTCCGGCAGTTTACTGATTTTAAGGTATCGACGCTTATCGAAGCCACACTTGTGTGCGACTTTTGTCGTGGGACAAATTAGTATTTCCATTGACAACAACGCCAAATTCAACTGAAGAAATCTTAATTGATACAAGCCCGTTCTATTTTGTATCTGGCATACGTTTGCATCCGGTTATTATTTATTATTTTTTTAATAGGAAACAATGCGAAATTATTCTCCGAATTTCTGAGAATTGGAGATTTACGAAAAATAAACTCCGGAACACAGAATTTTCGCTAAAAATAAACTCCGAAAAACACCCTCCGAATTTCACGAAAAATTAGCTCCGAAAGCACGGAGCCCTAATTAGAATGCGAGGACTGCAAAGTATAATTTGTACCCGATAGAGGGAGGACCCATGATTCTACGCGACGTCCTGTCCTAAAAGTTCAGAAATATCGTATAAACAGTCTATGAACAATGGTCACAAGAAACGAACGGAGTGAAGTAAAAGATGTTCCTTCATAGATTCAATAGAAATTAATTTATATTTACAAAATAAAAGTTATGTGTGGTTCATGTGGGAAACATCTTGAAAATATGGTGTTTGTTTTGTAATAAAAGTATATTTTCTAAGGTTCGCTTTGTTGCAGTAGCCCATACGATGTGGCAGTAACATATAGCGGAGTGAAATGACGCATTATAAACTTTTAACTTGCTGTTGAGTGGTAAAATAATCGCGGCAACGAGATAACATGGCAACGACCAGAGAGTTTAGCCATCGTAGCGACCGGCATTGTTGCAGCGGGCGCACCGACCGGGAGGTTACTCATTCATAACAGAGTGAGGCAGGAGATACGATCAACAAGCGGCGCGCGACAAGCGCTCAAAACGAATACCATAAAGTAATATAGTAAACGTAAAGAGAAGACACTCAAGCCGAATCGAGGCAAAGATATTGCGCTTTGATGTCCTCCGCTACGTGGCTTTTTTCGGTAATTTGTTTGAAATATATTAGAAGTCATCCTGTGAGGAGTATTATTTTTTGTTCATCTTATGATTTATAAATATTTAAACTATTTAAAACGACTAAATAGCTTTAATCTAATACATACCAAAAAACGCTCGATGAATCGCGCCAGGTTGAAGTTCAAGACGACAAAGATGCAGTTGAAGACAAAGAACGCATGCATAGAATTTCGGGGGAACAAATATGCGAGACACGGTATCAAATTTAGATGAATAGTTCAGTTCCCAAGCAGCATATGCATCCTATGGACGTCCACGGAACATTCAGGGCATCCATGAAACTTGGGGGGAGCGTCGCGAGAAGAGGACGGCCGAGAGAGGCGCGAGCGGGGGCCAGCCGGGTGCAAGCGCGAGAAAAGGAAAAGAACGTGAGGCACGAGGAGAACGCCAGGAAGCGAGAGCTGAAGCGGGCCGTCGACTGACGACGGTCGTGTTTCCCCGTCACTCCGGTGCTTTAGGACCGGCGGCCAGTGGCCAGCCAGGACAGTCAGGCCGTCTCCCGGGCACGAGAACAAGAGAGGCCCCCGGCAACCGGAGAAAATATTAAAGCAAGTTATGTTTACTTCCGAACTTTCCGTTGTGTGATTTGTTGGGAGTGAAGGGAGTGCAGCCTAACCGGGCGGAATGAATCCATTGAGCGACCTACAAACTGTAAGACACCCCTAGGATGTACGGAGTACTGTGTGTGCTTCTAGGACTTGCTTAAAAAAATAGTGTCAACATTAAGAAGAAAAAAAAAGAAACAGCGGCTTTGGGAGTTGAGGAGCTCCCCAGAACCTAGCGAGGGGGGAGACGAGGAGGAAAGAAAGGGAGAAAAAGGGAAGGAGAAGTTTACCGGAGAACCGGAGCAGAAATGCCCGGAATGAAACCGAAACGAACCTGATCAGAACCGGAACCAGATTATGTTTAATTCCGCCCGCTAAGAGCGCTAGCTGTCACTTGTCTATCTAGGCCGCTGGGGCCTATGGCTCTGTCCGCTTTGAACCTTGTGAATATTACTCTATGCGAATACGACGTGCAGCCTTAACAGCTATTGCTCGGCTCTCCTTGGACTGGCTCTTATCTTAAGTAATATTCTAAAAATGTAAATAAATAGTTAATTTGTTTAAGAACTAAAGGCTTCGACGACTACAAATTGACGACCCGGACAACCTGAACACTCCAGCCTACAGCTCCGACTTGAACTTCGGGATATCTCACTCCGAAACAGGAGGATCATCATCTCACGATGCCGCAGCCGGGACTGCAAATGCTCCCTCACAGACTGCTGCCATCTTCCTCAAGTTGCCAGACTTCTGGGCAAGTGATGCAGAACTCTGTTGCCTCCACGTCGACGCCTTTTTTCGCAACAACCGAATAACTTCACAGCGGGCCAAATTTGACTACGGCCAACTCTGTTGCGCTACACCCAATGTCTAGTTTTAGAGCAGCTCTACATCCCAACCTACGATACGATACGAACTTTATTTTTCACCACCAATACAAGTGGTGAATGGGAGGCCGAAGAAAAAGCTGCATAAATGCAGCTTGACGAGGTTCCGGGCCCCTATTCAGCAGCTACGACGGAGTACATACAGTACACTGGTCAAAAAAGAAAAAATCAAATGAACAAATTGAATATTTGGCTGTTGGACAATTGCACACTATCTATATTTTTAACAAAATATTCGTTCAGAATAGACGGTAAAGCATAACTTATTTTTTGTTTTCCATAGTTTGTCCTACATTTCGGAATTTGCCAGGGCTGATGATTTCTCGATGAATAATAATCACTTTTTTCTTTTAAATCAGACAGTTGAAGAATTACATTTGAGCGTCCTAATGCCGCATATTTATACGCCATCGTTAAACGATAGTTATAGATTTAGTGAATATTAATAATCTTGTATGACTTGAACAGTGAATCCGTATAATGTACGTAGGGAACGTTACCTATTATTCTTAGCACTTTTTTTGCAATAAGTGTATTATATGCAAGTTTGAGTAAGACGTATTACCCCAGATTAGGGTGCAGTAACATAAATGAGAATAAAATAAGGAATTGTACAAAACCTTTTTTACGCTGGATGGAAGAACGTGCCTATGCTTGTTCATAATTCCTGCGACTTTGCCTAATTTAGAGGAGAGATATTTTACGTGATTTGTCCAAAGCATGTCTTCGGAAAAAATGACTCCGAGAGTTTTTATGCTATTTACAAATTCAATGTATGAAGACCCGAAATGAAGAGGAGTGTAAACTCGGTTATTTGAGCCGCGTGGGCGAAACATCATTGCTTTTGTTTTCGAAGTATTTATAGTCAAGCAATTGGACTGAGACCATACTTTTAACTTTGAAAGAAATGCGTTAGCTTTATTTATGAGGGCCTCTTCGGATATATCAGAAAAAAAGATACTCGTGTCATCCGCATAGAATATATATTTACAGTTTGAATCAATGTTCACAATATCATTAATATACAACAAAAAAAAGAAGTGGTCCTAGAATACTTCCTTGGGGCACTCCAGCTGATATGGTTAATGGAATTGATTTCTCATTATTAATTTGCACAAACTGGGTACGATATTCTAAATAAGATTTGATTAGAGCATGAGGAAGATCACGAATGCCGTAAGCATATAGTTTATCTAACAAAATGGAATGATTTATACAGTCAAACGCTTTGCTGAAGTCTAAAAATATCCCAAGCGTGAAGGTTTTTTCTTCGAAATCCTTAAGTATTTCTTCTTTTTGAACCAATAACGCTGTTTCGGTTGACCTATTCTTTCTAAATCCAAATTGACAATCAGTACTTATAGAGTGCTTATCACAAAAGTAAACAACACGAGAGTGAATCATTTTTTCTAGACTTTTTGAGAACACAGGAAGTATAGATATATGACGGTAGTTCCCTAGTTCATTTTTGTTACCTGCTTTAAACAACGCTAAAACGTTTGCAGTTTGCATTTTTTGGGGAAAAGTGCCAGATGATATTGCGAGGTTGAATATGTATGTTAGACAGGGAGCAATAATATCTATCACATACTTGATAGGTTTAATTTGCAAGTCATGGGCATCACGACTGTGATTATTATTAAGAGACAAAATAGAAGAACAAACCTCAATTTCATCAGTAGGGTAGATAAATAATGAATCCGAAATTGACGAAATGTGATCTGACGCCTTAGGATTGTAAAAGCTATTTGCTATATTCACGAAATAGCTGTTAAATGCATTTGCCAAATTCAAACCACTCAATGTTTCGCCGTTATGGTTTATGTCTTCAATTTTGTTTGATTTATAGGACATATTAAGAACACTG